TGCATGTATAATACGAAATTGTTGGAAATTGCAATTCATTTAGAAACTTGCATGAACGCTTGAGTACAAAAGCAAGAGCTCTTTATCCCAAGTTTATCTCTTTCGCCCCCTTTCAAAATTTTAGCATATATTCCCGAATAGAGTTCTTTGTACTGTAATGTAACAATACAGGTAAACTATGTATTACGAGCCATCATACTTTGAGTAAATTACTTTCAGCCTGGTGATTCCAATGTCTATTGAATTTTTTTTTTCTTCCAAAAAAAATCAATTATGAGTAACTGTTATCCTATGTGTTTTAGATGAACAATTATCTTTATGTGAAATTTTAAAGGTATAAACCCGTAGATGTGGAATGATTTCCAATGAGACACCTCTCCATAAGAGACCAAATAACAGAGGAAGTATGATAATCTACTGTGGCTAAATATATACTTAGAAATATTGGAATAAATGAAATGTATGTACTCTCACAACTAAATTTGTCCGGCCCTAGTGAAGATTTGTCATTTTATTTACCTATTTACTCTAGAGAGTTCTTCATGTAACCGTCATGTTATATTTTAAGTTTTATTAGGGGTTATTTTCGCATTTTATTTTCTGCATCTGTTCATTCATTTTGATATTCAAAATTTCTAAGATAATAGAAAAGACTACATATGTAATAAACGTTAATTGTTGTGTTACAGAACTTAGAAAATAATTAGCTGGCAAGAATAAAAGTAGGAGGGCTTTAACATAGACAAATATCTTAAAAAAACAATTAAAGCGTAATCATTGTTGAAGATTGACATTTATTTTTACATTTATATATGCTATAATATAAGAAAACAATGGTTTATGACTGTTCTAATGCGAGATAATTGGTCGATACAAGTGTAATGTTTTTGATTTTAAAAACATGGTCTTTACCTCGGTGGTTTTGTGAACATGGAATGCCATGAGATATTAATACTGTGAGCAGTTCAAAGTGCGACGAAAATGTTTTGAATGAAATATTTTGTTATTTTAATTTTTGCTGCAGGTATAAAACCACTAATTCATAGTCCCATTGCTTTCTATGTTAAATTCTGCAATTTCAAGCATTAATGGCTACTTTGTCTTTATAAGTTCAAATAAAGTGGTAGGTATTTCATGACAAAACTATACCTTATGCTGACTTGTGCTGAAAAAATCAACATACCTTTAAGTGCATATTAGAGCGTACTGATTCCCGGAAGTTTGATAGTACAAAAACAGGAACTTCTGATCTGAAAAACAGGCCAAATGTGCCCTCCTTTTAAAATTTCATATTCTTCTTTATTATTCAAACAAACCTTTGAACACGGTTTCTACAGTGTTCCCAAGTCCCCAAGCTTTCATTTGATACCAAAACTACCCATATATTCCCCCTATTGACAAAGATTCAGCTTTGAGTAGGAACTATTTTATTTAAAATATGTACTACTTTCTTGTATGTTCTTTCCGACCGGGCCTGCATAAGTGGTTCTATACCTGCAATGGATTGTCAAATCTAGATATTCAATCTATTTAACACAACATTAAAACTTATCAAAACAACGACTCATCTTGACATTAACTTTTCTACGTTGAGAAGCGATACAGGTGTAATATTGCGCGCGGAACAATAAATTGACTTCAACATGATTTAAGAGTAACAGATCATTTCAGATAACCACGAAAAATTAAGAAGCCAATTATTATGTATATGCAAGATAATGATAGTATGGGGCCTGGGGTCAGACAGATTATAAAACTGTTATGCTTTCATAAAAAAAATCAATTTTACTAAGTTTATAGCTTTTAATATATTATCATTTGGGTTGATTTAATTAATCGTCAAGGGTTAAACTGTTTGGTAGTATTTAACATGATAATGTTAGTTTGTCGAAGCCAGGCGCTGTATGTTTTCGTGGCCTTTTCTATTTTTCTATAAAATGTCCCTATCTAGTATTCTTTCATTTTAAAATTTTTATAAATTTCCTGTTTACAAAACTTTGAATTTTTCGACAAAACTAAGGTCTTATGCGAGCTTCGGCAAGCAATAACTTCTATTTACACAAGATATAATTTAATTAGAATATGATGTTGATGGGTTTTTTTTTATTGTAAAAAAAATCCCATAGTCCCTACTGAAAATAATTTAATTTTCTAAATAATTACATTTTAGGGTGTCGTTACCGTATAGCTGCGACAATCGGTAAGTGTCGGATATGATATTATATTACATGTAAATAACAGTATGTGAAGAAAAACACTCCACATACTTTTTATAAGTTGTATTATGGAATAGCTTAGACTTTTATTTACAAAAAAACGGGGATATAAACACGTGTTATCGTTCAATGTAATTCAAATGTTATGTTATAGTTATTGGCCAAGCAAGTCGGTATATATAATTTAATCTGCACGGCTCGGTTGACCCAAATTTATCCGAACGACGTAGGAGTTTGGGTTAAAGGGTCATCATGACCGTGCAGATTAAATGATGTACCGATTTGATTGGCCTTTAACTTTTTTAACACATGGCGCCATCAATTTATGTGAACGTTTTGGAAATATGCGGACGATATTCCGCAATCTACGGATCCTAGGAAAGTTTCTTGCAGGATAAAGAAAGGGGGAAATTACGCTTTTATTTAGTTTAACTTGGTAAGTATTAAATCATTAACTTTTTTCTTATTTCGGCTACTTCCTAAATTGTAAAAAAAATGTTACATTATTTGGAGAATTGCGATTTAATGATACATTTTTTTAGTCGTTGTTATTAATTTTATTTACAATTTTTATATAAATCAGTGACGAATTAGAAATTGACATATTGTGTAGACACATATCTATTGTTGAAAAATATACTATATGTTGCCTTCAAGATGTCCTTAGTTTGTTAATTATTATCTGGTTTGACTGTAAAACACCGATTTTAGATTTACAATGTACACAAAATGTTATAGAGTATTTTATGTCCCACCCTTTGAATGGAAAACATATTATGTTTTAGCATAAAATCGTCAACATTTTTATGGAAAAACACCCCTCTCAAAATCCAGGGTCCGCTTCTTAAAGGTGAGATTACTTTTGAACTGTGCAGTATATCTGAGGCAGTTAATGCACACCTTTGCTGTGCATTATCCAAATTAAAGCACAGTAGGAACAGATATATTTTACCCATGTCATGTGTTAACATTTAATGATAACACATATAATAAGCAAGTTAAACATTGTTTAAAAGGAAATAAAAAAAAATGTATCGTAAATGATGGATCATGATTGTTCTGATGCTTGACCTGATAGCTCAATCGGAGACTTGCCCATCGAGCCACTGCTTGGAAATATAAACATGTGTTTAAACATTGAGTATTATCTTTTTAAATTATACTAAATTTCCTTTTTTGTGGTATTTAACAAAAAGCCTCTGGAATCGTCAGGTCAGTAGTAGGTGCTCGGTAATACTTAAATAAAATTAATCATTCATAAATTATAAAACTATTACGAATCGTATTTGTTCACTACCTCAGGAAACGTTGAGCATATAAACACCCTGGCTTTTAAATGTTAAGACTTCATTGTTCTGTATAAAGGGTTATCTCGAAACAAACGCTTGAACTAATTCGAACTCACGAAAGTTATCAAGCGTTCATTTAAAAATCAAAACCAACTTCTTGTAATGCAATATCAATTACAATTTTGAGACACGTTGTACTTAAAAGCTTTGTAAAACTGTTGTTGTCCTGTAACTCATCATTTTCATCATTATATGAAAAAAGTTAAATCACAAAAATAGTGAACTCCGAGGAAAATTCAAAACGGAAAGTCCCTAATCAAATGGCCAAATCAAAAGCTCAAACACATCAAACAAATGGGTAACAACTGTCATATTCCTGACTTGGTACAGGCATTTACTTATGTAGAAAATGGTCGATTTAACCTGGTTTTATAGCTAGCTTGTATGACAGTTGCATCATATTCCATTATATTGACATCGATGCGTGAACAAAACAAACAGACACAGTCGGAAATATGGAAGTTGTTTTCAAGTTGTTCCGTTGGTGGAGTAATAATTGTGAGCCCGGGAACTTAAAAAAAATGAAAACCTTTCATAATTATCGTTTTAATTTTATTGATACTTGAAAACAAAATCAAAAACAAATCTTAAGTGATATCATCATGACGTCCAAAAAATGATTAAAATGTGTAAGCCCGGTAAAATCCCTTTTTTGACCGAAAAAAGAGCATTTCATAAATTTGTTTAAAATGTAAACTTTTAGCTTTTTATTGGAAATATGAATACTTTCGTTACATCAATTTGAGCTCTTTTCATATTCATTACACTGTATAGGAATCAGATATCAGCATCAGAAATGCATCTTCAAGTACTGAAATCTTCATAATTTTATCATTTCTGCTAATTTGAAACGATTTGTGTCTACAATTAAAGTGGAAGCACTTGTGTTTGATATATTTTGTATTTGGTGATGATGCATAACATACATTCTGGGGCCTTTTATGTATACGCATCCGCTGTCAAGAACACATTATTCTATAGTACGAAAATTGCAAATCATTTAAATTACAACATAACGTATATTCTCAATATAAAAACTAAACATTAATATGCACTTTTTATGCAAGGATGATTGACCTAAATGAATCCATGGTAACAACGAATTATTTGTTTTGTTGATAAAACAAATGTTTAACTAGTATTTTAAGACAAAGACACATGTATTGAAGTGTTGCTCCATGTAAAATGAGTTGTAACTCTTATGCAGAATGCTACTATACTATTATTAATCAATGATCAACTGACGACCCATCAAACATTAATGATAACTAACTCCTGCAATATCTGCATATATTCACCAATAACAAAAGCCTTCGTTTGATATACATGATATATTTACGATTAGAAATGAATAACCAATAAAATGAAACAATTAGAAAGATGATGATGACTGAAACGAAATACAAACGTAAATGACTGTTTTATTTCAGGATCAGGATTATTGATATGCACTTCACTATTTGTTTTATTTGTGATTGCGTTAGTGTTGATTCATGTTTATGTAAAAGACATTGATAAAGGTATGTTTTATTTTTTAAATATATGTACACTTGACTTTATTATGTAATTTAAGGGTCAGACTATAAGTATTTAAAACAAAGGCTAAACTGTACATGACAGTTTCATGAGAAACATTTCTGTTTGCAAATCAAATCAAACACATAAACATTAAACAAATTGTTTAGAACATGTTCAAAATGAGAGTCAATGTGAAATTGTGTATCAAATTACAGAATAAGCAAATTGCAGTTCTTTTGTGTTTTTATATTCTATACCTGACTTTGACTATTTCTAGGATTATCTCTAACCAAGTCATTGAAACTTGAAAATGAAGAAAGTGTGTCCACAAAGGAATTAAAAATATCATCAAAGAAACAAGGTGTTTTGATAGGCAAAAAGCACGTGTAGCTATAGTCTACACAATCAACGATGATCCTAAAACCACGACAATTTGATAGTTTAACCGAACAAAAACTTGAAAAGCATTGAAACCCAAAAGTGTAATATTTTTTTTTTTGATTGTTTTAATTTCGTCAAACAAGTTAAAGTTTTGCACTTATTTGACCTCATAAATTCATAAAAATAAAACATTGCCTGGTGTTATTAAAATCAAATTAATGTTTAATCATGTTGATAGTTACCAATACAACAATGGTTTAATTTGACTGTAAAGTCATCACAAAAACATCATAAACAATATATGTGCCAGATTTAAAAAAAGGAAGACGTATGTTCGCTGAATCAACACATTGTCTACATCTTTTTACAGTGAATAGATAAACAAGTCCATAACTGTTTAAATATCATTATGAGCTATGTTAGGCTCTATGCTATGGCTAAGCACGTACATCCATTAAGGTACACAAGACAATATTCGTAGATATGAGCATTTGGTGCCATACAAAAGTTAACTTACTAAACTGACGCCAAGTAAAAACAAACCTGAACTAGAACTGTTCTGCAGCGACGAAGGATGCTTAAATATATTCTTTGAATATAAAATAACCAGACACAGAATAAGTCAGACTAAAGGTCTTCAACGTTACGAATTAGATAAAGTCTATTTTAATTAATTTCTTTATTAGAAGCAAGCTAGTCTCGATTGCGCTTAACTCTGTGGATAAAGCAGGCCAGTATGGTTGGGATTTTTAATTTTGTCTTTTCCTTTCTTCAAAAACCCTTGATCGATGACAGGATGCATCACAATCTAGGAATAGACAAGGTTCATTGCCAAAATGTATTAAAACCACTTATTATTCTGTATGCGTGTCAAAGTTTAAATACCATTTCTCACAGGTAATGTACTAACTTCATAGTATTTAAGACATCCCCTATCATTATTTTAAGATTTGTGGATGATCGCTATGAAACACAACCTTAAAATCCCAGTCTCAAAATTACATTTGACTTTGTTCATAATTGTACCGTCAGGTTTCATCGATTAATATATTTTTTTTCCACTCATTTCTTACTGACCAATAAAGTTTACTCCTGCACAAAGCAAATTTTTTTGATTTACACCCATAATGTCAATTTTGTATCGTACAGATCGTCTGGTGTATCCTGATGCATGACATTTTCGTTGTACAACTCGTCTGGACGCTTGAGCAGTTGTACGAGTGATAAATTGTATTTACAACGACGAGACGTTTAATCAATCCTTGACAAGTGTCTGCTCGTTTGATAACAGTTTATTTTCTTCTGCTTTGAGGAAGATTTTCTAAACCGCGCTTTTGCCGACGCTTTGTAATTGTGGATTTGAAAAAATAAAGCTAGCTCGTCGACCACTTTCAATTAAACTTATGATGGCTTCTGTGATATCGTCTGTCAATTATGATCCATGTCAAGCCATTTTGTTGCAATCAACAATAGCTAAACTTTGCTACGATAGTAGTATAAAAATCCAAATTAGGTACTTACATGTATTGCATGCATTTATTATTGCTAATTTTGAGGAATAGACACAACATGTGTGATTGGTTATTGCAATTTCAAGAAATCTGCATACATTTATACGTGTATACATCAGATCTCAGAATGGTATTATTATTACGTTACATCCCCCTTTCCTGTCATTTTTGTCGCTTCTATGAAAACCCAGCAATAATTTTAAATTTACAGTATATATACACTAAAGCATCATTGTTTTATTAAAGTACATACCATTCAACAAATGATTATGAAAATACGAAATAGTTTGAAATATATATTGATACTGCCCTAACTCGTACCTTGTTTTTAGGTCATCCTTTGTGGATAGAACATACGTAATTGTCAATTTTGAATTGCTATATATCAATGCAAAAATGAACACTGATATATTATAAACATAAGTATTTGTTATGACAATTTCTACCAAGAAGGATGTTCGCTGCTCTATTCAAATATCAAAAGACTGTTACAAATTGGTGGCATATACATAAATGACAAATATTTTGTAAATCAACTTTCTAATTTAACTGCACTAGATGCGCATATCTACAATTATAAAATATTTGAAATTCCAACTTATTACTAACGTTGAAGAGCTGATAAATTAAAAGGGTTTTAATTTTAGCACAAAAAAACGGGCAAGAAATCAGAGTTTTGCATGAAGGAGATACATTCCCTAATTTAGAATGATTTCTAATTTCTGAACAGATAATTTCATTCAGAACAATATCCGTACTTGCATGCCAGAACCAAACCAATGGCTACTTGGCTAGTGATACTTTTTGGACTAACAGTCCACTAACAAAGGTATCCACCCAGTAGTAGGAATGAAATAATGAAATAAACGGTACTAATTTTACAGCACCAGATGCGCATTTGACAGTAAATTTCTCTTCAGTGATGCTCGAGGCCAACATATTTGAAAATTCAACTCATTCATGTTATGTATAATACACTAAACCCATGCTTTGTTATGCATCTTATCACAGTCTTTTCCAACACGAAACCCACTTGCAAAGATAAAGGGACACAAAGGTTTGAAATTTAGCTTTTGTTTAAAATATTGAAGTTTTTATTTAAACATAAAAAAGAAGAATGTTTACCTTTTTCAAAACGAAATTAACTTCCACTGTATAAGTGGACCTGCATGGTAAACTTAATCATTCCTATTTAAATACAACCGTTTGCTTATCGCTTTTATTGTACATTTCGTTCTTCAAAAACTTAGAGTAGTAGATTATTCGTGCTGACAAACATCAGTTTTTCCAAAAGAAAGGTGACTGGATTTTTTTTCTTTCAGATTGGGGATATTACATCCTCTTTCCATTCGTGGGAGGTTTTTTTGGAGTCTGTATTTCATTAATATGGAATTTTTTTCGTGGTATGTATGATTATCAAGTTATAATTAAGTTAAACATAGCAATGGTAGTATTTTATAGATGTTTCAAGAACCTAGTACGTTCTTGTTTACAGACAAAACCGCAACACAAAGTTCGAGTTACCACTGTAAAGATTATGAGCATTTAATCGATTCATGTTTCACAGTATCTTTCGGCTTTTGGTACTAACCGTATTCTCAGCGGAATCAAATATGAACTTATTTTTACTGAATTTGAGAGTCAGGTTACATTGATCAATTGAACACGCATTGATACGGGTTATATTTCACTCATATTGTATATTATGGTATAATACTGAACCCCTTACGGAAGGGATTGTGCTTTATTTTCATATGGTGAAGAAAAAATCAGTAAAATTTAGGTCTGGAGATGGCATGTCAGTAACTGCTGGTAGTCCTTTGTTAATCTATGTATAATTGTCATTTTGCGTAGATTCTTTTATTACTATATTCTGATATCTGCGTTTACTGTGCGTATTGCTTAGTGTATGTTTAATTTTCATTGGCTAGAGGTATAAGGGAGGGTTAAGATGGCATAAAACATGCGCATGTCCAACACCAGGAGCCTCTGGCTTTTGTTAGTCGTGTATGCTTTTCAATTTTAGTTCATTCATATGTTTTGCAGTTTTGTATGACGTCCATTTTCACTGAACAAGTACAGTTTTTTTTTTTTTGCTTTGGGGACAGCTTAATTCAGCCTCCGGGTGCGGGATTTTCTCGCTGTGTTGAAGACCCATTGGTGGCCTTCGGTTTTTTTCTTCTTTGCCCTTTGGTCAGGTTATTGATCTTTAAGGATGCATTACTAACACTACTCAGCTATTGAAGCCCTTGGCAAGGATATCTCAATAAATCGTTGGTTTTCTTTATTGTAGACCAAGGGCTAGTCTACTCTACTTTGTGATTAAAGTTTTTTTCTGAGCGATAAATTAACTTTTTTTTATGACAGAACTGTATTTCATTTAAGTGAACAACAGTAGAATAAGAACATGTGGAACAGGATCTGCTTACATTTCCGGAGCACCTACGGATCACACCCAGTTTGTGGTGGGGTTCGTGTTGCTTAGTCTTTAGTTTGATATGTTGTGTCGTGTGTACTATTATTTGTCTGTTTGTCGCTTTCTTTTTAAGACAGTTTATTTTCGATCGATGAGTTTGAATGTCCCTCTGGTATCTTTCGTCCCTCTTCTAAAATATGAACATAACAAATATTTCAAAAACTCAAAAGAAATTGTTGAATGGTCCTATATCATATAATTTGACATCGGTTTCTTATATCCAAATCATTGTTTCTTCAGTTTAAAACATAATATTTTAATTGAAAAACAATCATTTTCAATCAGAAATTATACAACAATGTTTTAAATGGTAAGCTTCTAAACGTAGTATGATATGAAAAGTTTTTTTTTTTCGTATTATTTTTTTCCAGATGATAACGTTACCTCCGCAGTTCCTAAGGCGGACAACAAGATATGAAAATGTCAGATGTCGAAAAAGGGGTATTTATTAAGCACACTAGATATAACTTTACCAATTACCTTGGACAATGTATTCATTATTTTTTCTAAATCTATATAAGGTTTTCTGCAGTAAATATGGTCTTAATTTTTGATATATTCTGTTTAAATTGAAAAGTGCAATCAGTTCTAAGTTCCATCCAGAACTGTATATATATTCATCATAGAAATGGTTCTTCGCTAGAACGGATCAAATTATATCTTAGATTTTTTTTAGGGAAAATCTGTCATGGTCATTTCTTTGGTAAAATTATAAAAATTATATATGGAAAATGATTATACATAACATAAGTGAAAGTCGCTCTCTGTTACGATTTGAAACAGTCCTATTTGCTAATGTTATATAGTTGTAATAGAGTGCACTTTATATCTATTGCTGTTTATTGTTTTAGCACAACTCGGACTACCGGTTTTTGAATAGAGTAGTTTTAAATTGAACAATGTTGTTTACATGTCCGGAATATTTCATACATTACTGCGCAATCTGGATTTTGTTTATTGTCGATAGCACAAAGAAGAGCAAGTTTGTTGTTAAATTTAAAATAATGGAATATCTTCCTATTTTTAGCTCACTTAGCCCATAGGGTCAAGTGAGCTTTTTTCATCACTTTGTGTTCGTCATCCGTCATCCGTTAACTTTTTCAAACATCTTCTCCTCTGAAACGATTCTACCCCATTTTAAAAAACTTGGTCACAATCATTATAGGGTTATCTTGTTAAGCAATTGAATCTGCCTCCCAACCAAGATGACCGACATGGCTAAAAATAGATTTAAATGGAAAAATGCATGTTTTGTTTATTATCTTAAAAACCTTTATAAAAAGAGAGAATCTGACAGGGCAAAAGAGAAAGGGCTTTAAGAAGAGGTTATTTCAGACTTAATGATAACATATTCGGATTGTTCATTTACAAACAATTTTCTCAAACAGTGTTTTATCACTGAGTTTACAGGTTTGGCTATACGATTGTTTTAGGCAGTTATGCTTATGAGGTGATATTTTTCGTTTGTTTTAAGTAATGCTTAAACTAAAATGAATTGCGGAATTTGTCAAATCCCAGATACGTAGTTATTAACGAATATTGTTAAAACTATAAATGTACAAACATAAGGTATGGATATGTTCTGCTGTAATAATAACATTCTTGTAGCATTAGAAAAAAATGCACACATATACATGATAGACAAGCATATCATCAAATGCATATATATGAAAGTAGTTTTAAGACAATCATGGTAAATGTTTTACAAAATCAGATAGAAAATCCCCAATGTTATATCAGATTTTATCGTGACACCCTTTAGGCTACATACAGAAATTGTAAGTCATCTTAAAATTGATCATGTATTATTTATCATATTTTCTTTTCACAGAAACTGTCAACGAAGGCATCCTGAGATTGTCGAGTTGGATAGTCATTGTAGTCGAAATAATGTTCCGAGGCAGAAGTGGTTTCAAAGATTGCTAAAGATAGACGTAATATGGTAAATCCAGGTGAACTGAAACCCGCATTGTTCTTTTTCTCGAATCGACTATAAGTCTTCAATACATAAAGGAATGCTTAAAAATGAATAAGCCTGATACCTTCGATAACTATTGAGCCTAATATAATCTTTGCAGCCGTCTGATTCTTCATAATTGTTGCTTACAATTTCTCCTTTCTTACTAGATTCTTATATTGCATAAAGACTGTCTGAATACAATTGTGCAGGAAAATGTACCACTAAAGTCGTCGGTTAGGGAATTTATCTAGTTGTTAATTGTTAAGAACAGTAATGCATTAATATATGATTGACTATATTAGATGTTGTTTCTGTGATATTTGATATATGTTCAATAAGTACATTCCACTTGCAAATAAATGAAGTATGTCGTAAAATGGACTTTGTAATCATTTTGCATTTGTTATCAGATCAAGTGTTTTATTCTGTGGTTATTCTTTTTCTGAAAAATGTAAGATCTTTGTAAAACATTTTTATAAACCGATGAAACTTTACCTTGTGTTTTGTTTCTTGCTTCTATGTACAATGTGCATAAATAAACTCATCATAGATACCAGGATTGAAATTTTGTATTTGCGCCAGAAGCGCGTTTTGACTACAAAAGACTCATCAGTGACGCTTGAATACAAAAAAGTTAAAAAGGCCCAAAAAAGTACGAAGTTGAAGAGCATTGAGATTAACACTTCCTGAACGTTTTGCCAAATACAGCTTAGGTAATCTATTCCTGATGTAGAAAAGCCTTAGTATATCATGTAAAGTGTTGTAAACAGTTAATTTATAATCATGACCATATCAATGATAATTCATGTCAACACAAAAGTGCTGACTTCTGGGCTGGTGATACCCTCCGGGAATAAAAACTCCAACACCAGTGGCAATGACCCTCGTGCTAATATAAATTGATATTCAGAAGAATAAAGAATACCTTAAGAAAACATAAAAATCCAGTATAACCATGACAACAGTATCTACTAGCAGAAATTCGGACATCAAGATTTGTAATAGAAGGAACTAGGTTTTTTTTAGGAAGATCAATGATATTACTAGAACAATAGATACTACATGTCGTATGCACGAAATAACTTTGTAACATTAATAGAGTTCAAGGAACAGATTGTGCAAAAAAAATAAACAAAAAAATCGTTTGAACATATAAATTTTAGACAATATTAAGAACTGAACATGCTTTTAATTTGTTATGGTAAGCATAGTCAGACATCGTTTACATGAGCGATTATATATAAAATTATATCTATAATTTGATCACATGTTATGAAATAATTGTGCCCTAAAAATATTCTTTTGAAAACCTATGTACCTAATATAAAATTATGATAGTGTGAATTTTAGTAAGGATTGGACGGTGTAAAAGCACGAGCTTATCTTGCAATGATGTTGTTTATTTAGACTTTCAATTTAAACTTAATCTGATGTAGTTTTCGATCCTACAAAAAACTTACTCGAAAAAAGATTACCGAATTGAAATAATATCTTTTAAAGACCAAACAGCCTATTCAGTTCTACCAGTGATTTTTCCTTAAAATTTTATGTGAAGGTATTTCATGTTTTGAGGAACAAAATATGATAAAAAAAATTGGGGGTCACCGACTTAGTTTTGTCACTATAGTAACCTCAGTTTCGTGTTTTCCCGAATATTAACATGATATTTGCTTGTTATTTAAACTCTCAAAAAATACCATTATATCAAACCTACAAGCATAATTCTTGTTTCATGTTAAACAGTAGATTTGTGTCTATCAAATACAGGTTCAAGACTTTAAGATTCTTATTGTTTTGATCTTAAAATATATGATTTATTTCATTCGCACCAAAAATAAAACGCAAGAATGAAAAACGTTTCAAGTATTAAAAAATATCTACCAGTGATTTTTTCATAAAAATTTCAAGAAAGAAAGTGCCATGTGTACTCTTCAAAATAAAGCAAAAAAATGTATATGTCACCGACCTTTCAAAAAAGTTATGATTAATTTTCATGTTTTTTTTCTCGTTCGTTTTGAAGAAAAGAGTTGTCGTTCTTCAGAACATTGAATCTGACGTCATAGTACAAGTTTTCCTTGTTGTCGCACGGTTTGAAAAAAAATTGCAAATTGGACGTTTGAAACCCACATTTAAATTTTCAAGAATCAAGAATAACAACTATATTCACCTACTTTATTATCCGGTAATACAAGCGATCACATGTATGTATCAGTATCAGATCTCATGATGTTGTTGCCGTACAAAATTAACCTTCAGAAACACCATCCGTCGGAATGAAAAATTGTTCGAAATAACCTTTTACGACGCTTTAGAAAGGAAAGTCTGTTTTTGTCCTCTCCATCTCATTAGCAAAATCATTGAAAATAAAAAGAGAAATGAAAGATGATTACTTACAGACTATTTGACTATATTAGACTAGATGTGTGGGTTTTTTTGTCGCGTCAATTTCAGAACTTCGCCCTAGCGCACACTTTCGCTACTATTGACAGACGGACAGACATTAGCACGGACGGACTTCTTTATACCATTATGTGTCCCGACTAAGACGAGCGTATACAAATTATTCCATCTAGTTTGTGGATTCATTATTTCTTCAAATATTTAAAATATAAGAAAATTAAAATTATAGGTATAATATATGAATTAAAGTTTTTGATTCTAAAACGTTTTACATCCATTTAACCTATCATAAAATACGATCCCCGTTATTACTACCTCACGTGTTTTGAATAAACGAGACAGTAAATATAAAATACAAATAAGTTTTTAATTCAAAAATTGATTTAGAATCTAAGAAATAATTTTCCGTTGAAAAATATAAAGTATTTCTCAAAACAGGATGAAATATTATGAATCTAAATAGCTCATTTTGGAAATTAAAACAAAGACAAGATTGTATGTATAGCCGGATTGCCGGCATTGAAAATCGAAATTTATTTTCAATCCTTCCGGTCATTGTAGCTTTTTGAAAGTGAGAAATTTTATGTTGGATCTCCTTCTTGAAGCAATTGTTTTTGTCATAAGTTAAATTTACAACAAGTTAAGTTTTAAAAACCGTAAATTTTTATTTTAATTCACATTCACTTAGTATATTAATTCTTATATTTTTATCATTTCTCCTTAAGACAATTTGAAATGAAACAAAAGACAAAATACAATGTACCTTTATCATTTTATTTTTACTATAAGATTTTGTCAATTAAGCAGTATAGATAAAATTTAACTTCATTGCAAGATCACCATTAATTTACGAGAATCTTAAAGAAATAAGTTAATCTCATCATGCATACGTTGCCAGTATATCGAAACTTCTAGAAAGTATTGTTTATCGGCCTAACCTTCTGAAAACTCAGTTTTGAAAATCACATATTAAGTTAAAATTCTAAGCGTAAGTCATATAAATCTACCAGTGTAAAGTTACACGGGCGTACGAGATTTGCGCCGATTTAAAAAAAATTTCGATCTTTAATTTGCGCCGATTTGATTCTTTCATTAGCGCCTATTTTATTTTTTTATCACTAGCCCGATACTTTATTTGCTATACGAGTAAATACATGTACATGTAGTAAACCTAGAATGTATATTGCATGGTAATATATGGATATAAATAGTGTTCCCTTATGTTTAAGATAATTTTGGTCATACTGTTCGAGAACTTCGTTTTGACACGAGAAAGAAAAGATGGATTTCGTTATTGGCAAGTACAACAAGTATAGAAAAGATAAAATGACAAGAAAGAATTATATATCAGATGTGTGGCATATAAATTCTCGGCAAGATAATAATTCATTGTACTAGTATTACATTTTTATGGATTTTATTGTGGTGCTTTGAAATGCTGTAAATAGAATTTTACTCCGTGATTTTAGTGGATGTAAACAGAGTGCACAAATATCTTTTAAATTGACTTATCCTGCTCGAAATTCTACTCCCACCTCCCCTTTGTGAGCAGGGGACAACAGTTATATACATGTTATAATTGACAATTCATAACATATGTACAACTGGCTAACGGAAGAGGTTTATATGATAAATAAAAAAATAACTTTCACCTATAATATACCTGTACACAATCGGCGCAAATGAAAGACAAAATCGGCGTAAGTGAAAGAAAAAAAGTGAAATGCAGATCGGCGCAAATGCAAAAAGCCGAGTTCAAAATTTATATTTTTACTATTATTTTTTTTTGAACGGAGGTTACAGATATATAGTGTAGTATCTTTTGTGTCCATTTGTGTTTAATTTCCACTAAGTATCAGTGCGACGCTTAACTCCTCTTTTCTTGGAAGACGTAGTTTTAAGCGTACACCATGTTGGAATCCGTGAAAAACGCGAAATAGGACGTTATAATTTGACGTTTTTTTCATGGCTAGAAACAACGTCATAGAGCTTTTATGTCACTACCAAGTTGCGTTAGTTGATGCGCATCAACAATAGGCTGTTTGGTCTTTAATAATGTTTTTTTTTAGTTAAAAAATTGATTGTCTTATCAATAAATTAAAACTCAGCTAAATAATATTGACATGTACATAGAATAAACAAAGGTTCAACATTCTTTCGATATCTATAATTTTGGCCACAACCATGTCATTTTTGTCTGACTGTTAATTACGTCTTTACAAACATTCCAGTGGTTTTGCACGAGGTATGTGTATCTATTTAAAATTATGATTATGTTTAAATCGTGTTATGTGTCCGTCGGTGTCATCTCGATAGTTAATTAGATGGCGTCTAGACTAAAATACACACGAAAAGTTTATCGATCCCATGCCCTGTAAATCGTTTATTTTAGACTTTTTATAATTTGAATGATCGTTATAAATCTAATATGATAATTTGAGTTAAATTGGTAAAAATGAATTTGACAGCTAGTGCCCCTTTAAGATGATAAACAACGTTAGTACGTAGAATGAATGCATGATGTGTTGAAACGGAATTTTTATCAACAAGGTCTTGTTACCTTCCAATGAACGTTTTTCATAGAAACGACAAGACGTTCTTTGACATACCCCTGGTTCATCAACTTTCGGCTCAGATGCTGGTGACGTTCACAAAGTCTGAGTAGTATCTGTAAGCTCTAGAATGCTGAATAAGTTCGGAAATGTGTATCCCGTATGCAGGTGAAGATGGTATATATTCCTACTATGGTGGGGGAAATTGATAATTTAAAAATTAAAATTGATTCGTTTGTGATCGATTCTGGTATTTAGATGACTGCGTATTTTAAATTCGAGGTATATATCTAAAATTGAGGCAGATGAAGATGTCCTTTGTTTCCTTTCCTTTTGTTCTGCATGATATATTTATGAACCTAATCAGAAAAGTTTCGACTGATCATGGAAAGGACACCATCATTGTATCTGAATGAGAAATCAAATGATCTTGTTTCTTGGATCTTATTGTTTGTGATAAGTGTCTGAAGGAACTCCGATTTTTTTAAAATAAAGAGGTCAGCAAGGAGAGGCCCACAGTTCGTTCCTAGGAATGCCGAAAA